GATCCCTCAGGAGACCATCCGCCACCTCATCAGGAGCATGCCCAGGCGTTGTAGGGAAGTCATACAGGCACGTGGTGGCCACACACACTACTGAGCCGCATTTTGACTTGTTTTAAGGACATTACATCAAAGTTGGATCAGCCTGTAGTGTTTTTTTCCACTTTAATTTTGAGTGTAACTCCAAATCCAGACCTCCATGGGTTGCTAAACTTGATTTCCATTGGTAATTTTTGTGTGATTTTGTTGTCAGCACATTGAACTATGTAATGAACAAAGTATTTAATAAGAATATTTCATTCATTCAGATCTAGGATGTCTTATTTTTGTGTTCCCTTTATTTTTATGAGCAGTGTATTTTGGATAGTACTTATATTATTCATCAGGGAATGTGATTATTGTTATATGGATAAGGGTATTATTAATTGTAAGCACACGAAATATGTACCCAATCAACACACGGTTGAAATGGAATGGATTTATTGTATGTGAAAATTAAAAAAAAATTGGGGGGGGGGGAAAGAAATCTGCTTTCAGGTATCAAAATTGTGACGGAAATGGGGACGAGGAACGGAAGAAGCACTGAAAACCTCATAAAATCCAACCGTTTACTCAATGCAGCCAATCCAAGCAGCTCCAAGCAACTCCCTAACTAACGTTTTCTTTTCGTGGTTGAGTGATTCGTGGATTCTGACCTTTCTTTTCCATTCAATTCTCCTCGAATGTAGGCTGCCCCGTTAAAAAAAGAGGTGCCCCTGCAAATAACAGCCCAGGATCTTCTGAACGTGAAGCTGAAGAAGACCAAGAGTGAAGTAGCGACGGAGAAGGTAATCCAGAAATGAGACGGTTGAAGCATGCTTGCAGCTCGGATAAGCTGCTTTCTTCATACAGGTAGTCCTCGACTTATGGCCACAATTTGAGCCCCAAACGTCTGGCTAAGCGAGGCAATGGTTAAGTGAGTTTTGTCCCGTTTTACGGCCTTTCTTGCCACGGATGTTAAGTGAACCACTGCAATTGTTAAGTCAGCCACGCGGTTGTTAAGGGAATTTGGCTTCCCCATTGAGTTCGCTCGTTCGAAGGGTTGCCAAAGGGGACCCCAGGACGTTGCAACCGTCGTAACTGTGAATCATTTACGTTGTAAATTGAGGACTACCTGTAGGTAATGAACAATGGGTTTGGCAGACCTTCCTTTCAGTCCCTCTGTGAAGGAAAAGTACAGGTAGTTCTCAACTTACGACCACAAACAGGGAGCAGATAATTTATTTTTAAATAGTGTGGTCATCAGTTGAGCGTACCCGATTTTATGACCATTTTTACCATGGTCATTAAGTGAGACATCACACAGTAGTTTATTACCCCAAAGAGTGCAGAGGGCTCTGGTGATAGCCTGGCCTGATCAGGGGGATGGACTAGAAGACCTCCAAGGGTCCTTCCCGGTCTGTCATTCTGTTACAGGTAGCCCTCGACTTACAACTACAGTTGAGCCCCAGATTTCTCTTGTTAAGTGAGACATTTGTTACGTGACTTTTTGCCCCATTTTACGACCTTCCTTGCCACCATCGTTAAGTGAGTCGCTGCAGTTAATAAGTTAGCACCACGGTTGTTAAGTGAATCTGGCTTCCCCGTTGATTTTGCTTGTCAAAAGGTTGCAAAAGGGGATCACATCATCTTGGTCGTAAGTATGAGTCAGGTGCCAAGTCTCTGAATTCTGATCCCATGAGCATGCTACAATGTTTGCCCAGCAAGTGTGAAAAATGTTCCTAAGTCCCTGTTTTCAGTGCCGTTGCAACTTTGAACGGTCACTAAACGAGCTGTTGTAAGTCGAGGACTACCTGTATTTACGATCTTCCGGTGAGCAAAGTCCATCGTTAAAACCAGATTCCCTTAAAGACTGCATGGTTCATTTAACAACTGCGATGGTTTGTCTAGTCTTAATTATGGTTTGTGTAGTTGAAGATTAGTTATGCTCTCTCAACTTGCTGGAGCCTCTTTGGAAAGACATGTCTGAAATTAACAGAGTTGGAAGGGACCTTGGATGTCATCTAGTCCAACCCCCCGCCCAAGCAGGAGACCCTATACCATTTCTGACAGATGGGAGTCCAATCTCTTCTTGAAAGCCTCCAGGGATGAAGCTCCCACAACTTCCGAAGGCAACTTCTGTTCCATTGGTTGATTGTTCTCACTGTCAGAAAATTCCTCCTTATTTCCAGGTTGAATCTCTCCTTGATCAGTTTCCATCCATTATTCCTTGTCTGGCCTTCAGATATCTTGGAAAAAACGGACAAGGAACAATGGATGGAAACTGATCAAGGAGAGATTCAACCTGGAAATAAGGAAGAATTTTCTGACAGTGAGAACAATCGACCAATGGAACAGCTTGCCATATACCAATGGTATAGCTCAAAAGGTGCGCTTGCGTGCCAACACCCAGAAGGCAATGTGCCTGCCCCCTGTGCCTGCTCACGCAATCCCCCCCCCCTCCGCCACCCCCTTACCTGCACTGAGCCTCCCAGCTGATTTTTGGCCTCCCAGAGGCTTGATGAAAACTTCTGCAGCCTCTGCAACCCCAAAAATAGGCCCGTTTCATCACTTCCGGTATTTCCGGAAATACAGGAAGTAACGAAACGGGCCTATTTTGGGGGCTGCAGAGGCTTTCCTCAAGCCTCTGGGGCTGAAAAAGGCCTCAAACAGGCCGAAAATCTAGCTGTGAGGCGGGCACATGCCCAGTGAGGTAAGTTTGCCTGTGGCTCGCATGCCGGCACAAATGGCTCTGCGTGCCCCCTGTGTGACATGCGTGCCATAGGTTCGCCATCATGAGTATAGGACTAGAAGACCTCCAGGGTCCCTTCCAATTCTGTGATTCTCTGTTATTCTGTTATTTCAAGATGTAAGGCTACCATTCCCCCCCCCCCCTTCCTGTTGCAGGAAACATCCCCACCCAAGGGAGGCAAGGCGCTGGTTACTCTCCGGGATCTGCAGAGCATCCGTCTCCAGCCCAAAGCCCCCCAGACGCTTCCTCGGGTCACACATTTTCTCAAGTAAGACCTTTGCCCTCGTGTGAAGTTTTCGGAGGTGGCTTGATGTTTGAATGGGGGCCACGGAGCGATTTTCTAACCTTATTATCTGTCCTTTGCGTTTCCTCCTTGTAGCACTCCCAACGGAGACGGTTTAGATTTCCGGAAACACTTGAAAAAAGTTGCTATTCAAAGGTAAATCAGTAGGTAATTTTTCCCCCCCTCTGCCAATAAAATTTGGGAATGGGAGGGGCACTCTTGACATAGGGACATCCAATGGGAAATGACCCCAAAGATCTATACAGGTAGTCCTCGACTGACGACCACAGTGGAGCTCCGAACGTTCTGTGGCTAAGCGAGGCAGTTGTTAAGTTAGTTTTATCCCATTTTACGACATTTCTTGCCACCGATGTTAAGTGAATCAGTGCGGTTGTTAGGTCTGTCAGACGATCGTTGAGGGAAATCTGGCTTCCTCGTTGACTTCGCTTGTCCGAAGGTCTTCAAAGGGGATGCTGCAACCGTCGTAAATGTGAGTCTGTTGCCAAGAATCTGGGTTTTGGTCACGTGACCTTGGGGATGCTTCAACGGTCGTAAGTGTGAAAAGATTACCTGTGTGCTGTTTTATCCTTTGAGAAGAATGAATGGGCGGTTTATGTAAGCGTGAAAGATGTTCATAAGTCACTTTTTTTCAATGCCATTATAATTTCGAACGGTCACTTAATGAACTGTTGTAAATTGAGGACTACCTGTAGGTTATGAGCAGGCCTTCCTTTCAGTCCCTCTGTGAGGTAGTTCTCAACTTACGACCACAAACAGGGAGCAGATAATTTATTTTCTTTCTTGCCAGAGTTGTAAGTGCCGATGATAAGTTAGTAACTTATCGCCAACCAGAGTTGTGAGGATGGCACAGTGATCCATTTAGCTTAGTTTAGTTTAGTTTTTACTTTGTTGTCCTTGCACCTCATACAACGAAATCAAACACCATCTTCAGTGCACATTGAAAATAAAACACAAACACACTTCCTTCACCCTCCACACATTGAACCCCCGACACCACACCAACCCTGCACTGTACAGCAGAATTCAAAAGAGCTACTGCCCTGGGATAGAAGCTGTTTTTCAGCCTATTTGTGCTTGTTTTTATTATCCTGTACCGTCTGCCAGATAGCAATAGCAATAGCGCTTAGACTTATATACCGCTTTCCAGTGCTTTCCAGCCCTCTCTAAGCGGTTTACAGAGTCAGCCTCTATTGCCCCCAACCATCTGGGTCCTCGTTTTACCCACCTCGGAAGGATGGAAGGATGAGTCAACCTTGAGCCTGGTTGGATGTGAACTGCCAAATTGTAGGCAAATGGCTGCAAAAGTAGCTTGCAGTACTGCACTCTAACCACTGCACCACAGAGGATGCTTTGAACTTTCTTAAGCGAATCCGGCTCCCTTGTTGAGTTTGCTTGTTCGGAAGATCGCGAAAAGGGATCGCATGACCTTGGGACACTGCAATGGTCGTAAGTGCAAACCAGTTGCCAAGCCTCTCAATTTTGGTCACATGATCATAGGGATGTTAAGGAGGGGTGTGATGGCCTAGAGGTGGAGCTCTCGCCTCACAATCCGGAGGCTGTGAGTTCGATCCTAACGTGGAGGCAGATATTTCTCTCTCTCTGGGCACACGATATATCAGCTGAACAAAACGCCGCATTGGCGACAAGGAAGGGCATCCGGCCATTAAATCCCTCTGCCAGCTTCATTCAGTTCAGTGGTGGGATTCAAATTTTTTTTGCTACCGGTTCTGTGGGCGTGGCTTGGTGAGCGTGGCAGGGGAAGGATACTGCAAAACCCCCATTCCCTCCCCACCCCACCCCACCGCACTAACCTGCTTTCCAGCTCCATTCTCCTGTGCAGGGCAACAAAAGAAGATCCAGCCGATCAGCTGGGACTCAAGGGGAGGCAGAGAAGAGATGGGGTTGGCGGGGCCAGTCAGAGGCGGGATTTGCCAGTTCTCCAAACTACTCAAAATTTCCGCTACCGGTTCTCCAGAACTGGTCAGAACCTGCTGAATACCACCTCTGATTCAATTGCCTAGATTCCACCCCACAAGGGATTAGGGGGTCATTAAAAGAAGATGCTGATTATCTGGGGGATGCCACAAAGGTCGTAACTGTGAAAAATGGTCATGTCACTTTTTTCACTTGTAACTTTGAACTGTCACTAAATGAAGTCAAGGACTTAACTCTATAGATAGTGCTCAACTATGGTCACAATTGAGTCTGGAATTTCAGTTGTTAAGCCATGCTGTCGTTGACAGACTCCTCAGGTGATTTTACAACTATTTTTTGCAGAAATACTAAGAATGTGGGAACCAGCATGTATGTAAGATGTTCACAGCATCCCAGGACCATGTGATGGGCATTAATCACCTTCCCAGCTGGTTTCTGGCAAGCATAGTGAATAGGGGAGGCCAGATTCACTTAAGGACCCCATGAGTTACTTAACAGCTGCAAGGATTTGCTTAACCACTCTGGCCAAAGAAGGTCACATAATTTAATGCAATTAGCAAGTGCTCTGTTTGACAATGGAAATTCTACTTGTCAGTCTGTGCTCCATTCAAAATCCAAGAAATAAATACTTAGACTCCATAGATTAGAGAAAAGAATTCTTTTACTGAAAAATGAAGTGGTAGCATCAAGTAGGATTCTGAATCTGAGAATTTAGGCGCGCAGATCACATATACAAAGTGATGAAGTTGTTCCCACCCCCCATAGTTCAAAAGAATCTTCCAATAAAAAGTTCTGAATATGGTCATGTGGACATCTTCAGGTGGTGATGAGGCCTCTGCCCGTTGACCTTGGCATATTTTGATAAAGGTTTGCAGCTGCGCAGAGAAAAGAAAGCTAAGCGAGAAATAGAAACCTAAAAGCAGGAATTTATACTCCCCCCCCCCCCCACTCCTCATTTACACAACACAAGAATGTAACACCTCCAGCTCTCTTCCCAGATCATATCCCCCCTCCTCCCCCCGTTACTTATGGCAGCCAAAAGATGCAAGGCAGTAGATCTTGAAGGCTGACACTACTCTTGATTGTGGTCATAAGCCAAGGACCACCTATACTGCAGTAATACAAAAGTATTAATTATTAATAACACTAATATTAATTACTAGCTCAGTAGCCGTGCTTCACGACGAAACTATGTGATTGGGCTTAGTTTTTTGGGAGGAAAATAAGTGGGGGAAAAATTGCGCTTCTGCCTACCAGCATCCATCAGTATTCATCTGGCTAGCATCCTGTCAGTGTGTGAGAGAGTTGAGGACTGTTTGGAAACTGAAACATGAAAACTGAAATAGCATTTGCTGTGTGAGCAAGAAGGAGACAGCAAGGAGCCTGGGCATGGATTAGCTCAACTATTCTGTACTAAAGCTGCTTGGTGCTCTGAAAATTGAAACTCCTCTGCTTGTGTTTTGCATTTGGAACAGATTTCTTTTCAGGTGGGGAGGGTGAGTAGAACTTAGCATCAGAGCATGTTAATAATAATATAGGAAATGCTAATGCCCTGGGGGTCATTTTGGAAAATCTGTTGAGGTAATTCCCCGTTAGGAGAATGAGTGCACACAGGGAGACGTAGTGAGAGTGATGTTGAATAACACATGACCAGCACACAGATACACTGAATAGTAAAATGTAGGTTTTACTTCCAGTTAAACGGTTAAGCAAAGTCCAACAAGCAGTCCAAGTCATACACGGTTAAAGCAGTCAGTTTTCAGTCCAGGGTTAATCCAAATAACAAAGTCCAGTATCATAAACAGTTCAGTAGCAGACTTACAGCAATCCAAGAAGAAGATCAGCAACAGTCAATAGGGAAAAATGCAGGAACCAAGAACATCGAACATCAGAACAAGTAGCAACTAACAATAACAGAACAGAACAACCCAGGTTTCAGTCTCCATCTTATGGCCGTTTGAGGAACCACACTCAATTTACATTTTTAGCATTCCCTTAAAGAGACAGTATTAAATGTCTATCCTGGTTTATATATTTCCAACCCAACCTTTAGGTGGCTATCAATTCCTAACAAAATCCTTTCTTAGTGAGCACCTAGAAGCCAAGAGGAAGTTAGGTGCCAAATTTCAAGTTTGCAGGCTTTACGGTTCTGGAGATTTTGTGATGATGCGCGAGGGGCACTTCGCTTTTTTATATAGATGATAGATAGATAGATAGATAGATAGATAGAGATGAATAATAGTTAACAGCTATGTCTGAAGTGGTATAGGGTCTTCTGCTTGAGAAGGGCAGGGCACTAGAAGACTTGAAAGGTCCTTTCCAACTCTGTTACAGGTAGTCCTTGACTTATGACCACAAGTCAGATCAGAATTTGTGTTGCTAAGTGAGAAATTTATTAATTTTGGCCCCCTTTTACCACCTTTCTTGCCACATTTGTTAAGTGAATCACTGCAATTGTTAAGCTAGCCACTCGTTCGTTAAGTGAATCTGGCTTCCCCATGGACTTCGCTTGTCGGAAGGTCGCAAAAGGGGATCACGTGACCCTGTCACCGTCATAACTATGAGTCAGTTGCCAAGGATCCGAATTTTGATCACCTGATCGTGGGGAATACTGCAACGGTCATAAGTGTGAAAAACGGTCATAAGTTTTCCATGCCGTTGTAACTTCGTTCACTAAATGAGCTCTTGTAGGTCAGGGACTACCCATAATATGGCATTATTATTTCTCTCTTTTATTTTTTTAAACAGGAGTCCAGGGGGAACCCCAATGAATAACAAAGAAAACATGGAGACTGGCACAGGATTGACCCCACTGATGACTCAGGCTCTCCGGCGCAAATTCCAGGCAAGGCCACCTCGAAACGTGTATTGCTGTCCCTGGTTATGTTGATCTCCTGGTAAAACTGGAACAGTGTCTCCAACACTGTGGGAGAAAAATTGTCTTCACTGGAAGTCCTCTGTCAGGATTCCGGCAAGTTACCCCCAATTAAATCATGAGTCTTGAGCCAAATTTCCAAAACTTCAAAAGGATTTATTGGGAGTTAACATGTCCCAACACTGCCTGGTTGTAGCTGACTCTGAGGCCTATAATTCATTGTTACCCTTGACCCTGGTTTCCCCCCTCCGCTCCTTTGGTGTATCAGATAACAGATAATCAAAGTTGGATAATCATCTAGTCCAGCCCTCCACCCAAGCGGGAGACCCTACACCATTTCTGACAAATGGCAGTCCAATCTCTTCTTGAAAGTCTCAAGTGATGGCGCTCCCACAACTTCCGAGGGCAACTTCTGTTCCATCGGTTGATTGTTCTCATAATTCATAATTCTCCAATGGGACACATCCATAGCCAAGAGTCATCAGTCAGGTTCTCCAGTTAGATTTATGGCCGGCTGAAACTTCAGTCACCTAGTTACAATCTCTGAAAAACTATATATGGAATGCACTTTTGATTTCCAAGCTGCCGCCTTGCTCTTTCAAACCCCCTTTTGCCCCTCTGTTGGCAACTCTAAAAAGACCATAGAAATATTTTATGAGTTGACACCCTCATTTGAGCCCAAAATCTCCTCTGCTAAGTGAGACTTTCATTAAGTGAATGTCGCTCCCATTCCACAGTTCTTAAGGAAGTCACTGCAGTCAGGTGCTTCTTAAATGAATCCGGTGTCAGGGTTCCAAGTAATACACCCATAGCAAACAGAACTCGGAGGCAGGTGAATTCCTCAAAGAACAGGTTTATTGGATATCATATTGGCACGGGCTGGTGAAACACCGACTCTGAAAACTCCCCAACTCCCGTGGTTTTCACCTAATTAAAAGTTGTTCCCCTTTTCCCCCAAACAATCAGTCACATGGTCCAATCAAGATGCTGTCCGGCTGCCAGGTGACTTCACTCCTCCTGTGATGACCCAGGGTGGGATACAAAATAAACACAGTCACAAAAATAGGTGAAGCCCCTTTTATTCCTTCACTTTGCTTCCAAGCTCCAAATATCCTTGACTGGAGACAAAAATCTCCCCCACAAGCAGTTACGAAAAGGAGGAAATGCCGTTTAAACTAAAAATGCCTATAAATTATAAAGAATAAAAACAACACTGAAACAAGGGATCTGTGGTGGTCTGACATTCGAAATGAGACACAGGGAAAATGTCTGAGAAAATGCCAGCCCTGAGTGAACTCAGGTAGCAGTATTTATTGAGAAAAAAGTAAAACAAAAGTACAGTATGCATTCAGAAAACAATGACCTCTACAGAATTACCTCACCAGCATGAGAACATACAATCTTGGAAAGTCCCAGATGTTACCTTACTAGGATGAGATCATACAGCCACGGAAAGTCCCATGGGAAAGTCTGGAAAGTCCCATGAGAAAACACAACTGTGTACCTTGAACTTTTACCTATTTTCCTGTTCCTTCTAAACTTGCAGAATCAAACAGGATGAGACACTCATGAGCAAAGGTACTCCTACCCCCACCAAGAATGCCTACATATCCCTAGACCTATTGCTAGTTGTACAAAGGACTTACAGAAAATGATCAATAGATTATATTACCACAGGTTCCAAGCAAGACGTCCACAGATATTGGAACACACACCGGGAATGACGCCAAACTCAGAGAGGAACAGACTAGAGATATTTCCACGCTTTGTTTCCTGCACTGGCCCATACGCACGTCCGTCCTTTTAGCCAGTTCTCTCTCACAGCTGCAGCCCATGAAGAGGATCAAGGCCCTTTCCTCCCCCATAGACCATGCCATCCATGTCTCTCCCTTATCCTCTCCTCCCTGCGTGGCCTAGGATGAAGAGGGGATGGGCCTGAGTCTTCCTCTGGCTGCCAAGCGGGCCTCTGCCCTTCCCCAGCCTCCTCCACAACCTCTGGAGCCACACTTCCACTCCCTGTCGGCTGTTCCTCCTCTCCCTCGGAGTCAGTCTCCGACAGGGGCATGACACCCCCTTTCTCTGACCACCTGTGGGAATGTCCTTGGTTCCCAGGAGAAAGTATTTTGTTTTGGCTACAAAACCCCAGCTATCTCTATTCTCCCGCTCTCCCTATCCCTCAGCTCCAGTGTGGCCTCAAAATGACCTCCGTCAGGTCTGCTTCAGGGTTGATAGGAGGCCCCCCACATTGTCTTCTCTTGACAGAAGGTGGCAAATACGATCACATGATCCCAGGATCCTGCTTAGTGACACCAGCAGCATCCATCAGTATTCATCTGGCTAGCATCCTGTCAGTGCGTGAGAGAGTTGAGGGCTGTTTGGAAACCGAAATAGTATTTGCTGTGTGAGCAAGGAGACAGCAAGGAGCCTGGGCGTGGCTTAGCTCAACTGTTCTTGTACTAAAGCTGCTTGGTGTTGTGAAAGTAAAACTGAAACTCCTCTCCTCTGCTTGTGTTTTGCATTTGGAACAGATTTCTTTTCAGGTGGGGAGGGGGATTAGAACTCCTTAGCATCAGAGCATGTTAATAATAATAATAATATAGGAAATACTAATAGCTCTGATAGTCATTTCACAAAATCCTTTCTTAGTGAGCCCCTAGAAGCCAAGAGGAACATACGTGCCAAAAAATTTCAAGTTTGTAGGCTTTACGGTTCTGGAGATTTTGTTATGATGCATGAGTAGTATTTCACTTATATATATATATATATATTGATTTATTATTTCTACAGCTGGCTCACCCAAAGAGTCCATCTCCTTCCTGCTTACCCACAAGAAACACTTTTGAAGAACAGAGCTAGAAGATCTGGTGGTGTCCACAAACCTCTACAATGGATACATCGCTGCTCGGGGGAACAATATGGACCGAGAAACAGGGATTTCCTTGGCCCTGTTTTTGGCATGCTGGAATATGCTTCTTTCCCTCCCTCCTCCTGCTTTTTTTTAAAAGAAACATTCTGTAGCAACGCATTAGTACTGAAAAGCCCTTAAAACATATCCAGACCTTACCTTCTCATCCCACTGGGCATTCAAAACTCCTTGGATGAAGCTGCTTTGACTTTAAAAAGCTTTTGCCATTTTTACCTAACTTTGAGCTGCTCTTTCACAAAGTTTACACACCCTCCCTCCAATATATTTGTAAATGAAGACTTTTTTTGGTGAGGGGTTGACATATGTCGATCCGAAGAAATAGCCCCGTTTTTCCCGAGATTGCAAGAATTCTATTTATTCTTGGCTCGTTATGTTTGCAACTAAGCTGTGCGCACGCAGAAATTTGTATGCATCAGGGATCTGCAACCTTAAACACTCCAAGAGCCATTTGGACACTCTTCCCACAGAAAAACACCGGGAGCCAATAATTTAACAACCAGTATGACTGGGTGGGCGTGGCCAACTCGGTGTCACTCACTCCTATCCAGTCACCTCCTGCTCTGAAATATGGAGGGAGTCTCCATCCCCTGGCCCATCACCCTTACCTTCTCAGGCCACAGGAGGGGAGGGGCCAGCCAGTGGTGGGATCAGCTGACGGGGGCCGAAAGAGCCGCATGTGGCTCCAGAGCCACAGGTTGCAGACCGCCGGTATACACTTTATACACAAGAGGAAAGCTTTTGTACCCTCTCTTAGAAGATGGAGGGAAGAAAAGAAATATGTGGCATTCGAGCACTGGAAGGACCAATTTAGGAGTACCTTGAATTCAAGATTGTCCTCCTGTTACTGGGGTCTGGGTGAATCTTGAATGCTTCCTCATCCAGTCTTGGGGAGAGTTTGTGAAGGATAAGGAGAGGATAATCTGATCTTGAATTAACCCTTAATAGGTCAAGTTGCACCTAGCATGATCACACAATGGATTGTTACACAGAAAAGGTGTTTGTAGGACTCGCGTTGAAGGTGTTCTGATGGACCGACTGCGCTTTATGTTGTAAGATATGTTTCCCGCGTCTGTTCAGTTTTGAGCCTGAAAGGCCAAAAAAACTGTAAGCAAAGCTGGCAGCAGAAAAGAATAAAATCTAAGATCTTTAGAACAAGGAAGAGTGGCTTATAATTGGGTCTCCTGACTTCACTTGTGGTGATCTCATTGTCTCCAAGAGAATAGTAGAAGGTAGGGATTATTTCATAGCAATTCTACTACAAAAGGAGTGTCCAACCTTGGCAACTTTAAGATCTGTGGATTTCAACTCCCAGAATTCAAGAGGTCTTGAGCAGGATGGTGAGGTATGCTAGGAATTACCATCCATGGCATAGAGAACACTGGTTCCTTCACCCAGCTTGAAGTCCCACGTTCCTTACCTTGGTGTCAGGGTTCCAGCGATTGCCCTAATTAAATCATGGGCCTCGAGCTAAGCTTCAAAAGAATCCAAACAATTTATTAGGAGCAACATGTCAGGATTGAAGCCAACTCTGACACATGTGCTTTACAGTCACCTATGACCCTGTCCCCCCTGGGTGTGTCATAAATCAGATTCTCCAACAAGCACTTTCGCAGCCTGGGTGTCATCAATCAAATTCTCCAATGAAGGATTTTCGTGGGCGGAAGATCCGGAAGCCTAGCTACCATCTTTGTAAGATAAGTGCGGAATGTACTTCTGGTTTTAATTTCTGTAGTGCTCCTTCAGGTTCCCCCCCCCCTCCTGCTTATGGCAACTCGAAAACAAGCATAGGAATGCTTTATGAGTTGACATTTGGGAAGTTCAAAATGCATGAACTTCAACTTCGAGGATCCTCAGCAATGGGAGATGGGAGATTCTGGGAAATGGGCCCTACATCTGTAAATTGCCATGATTGGAGAACAGTGATTCTGCATGATGGAAGATGATTTGTAGGGTGCTTGGTATTCTCTGAGTTCTGTTGTTTTCTTGCAGACATTTCATGACCCAACTAGGTAACATCATCTGTGCTAGAAGTGGGATTTGCTTTCTGTTTATATACAAGAGGCTTACCTTGTCAGTGTTGGTGGGAATATTCTTGGTGGTTCCTTGGTCAGGCTAGAGAGAGAGAGAGAGATGGTTGGATTAGATAACGATAGATATAAATGGATGGATGCATAGAGAGATAGATTAGATGATTGATAGATAGATAGATAGATAGATAGATAGATAGATAGATAGATAGATAGATAGATAGATAGATAGATAGATAGATAGATAGATAAGAGACTGGACAGCCACCTGTCTGAACTGGTATAGGGTCTCCTGCTAGAGTAAGGGAGGGGCTGGACTAGAAGACCTCCAAGGTCTATTCTGATTCAATTGAGGTCGGAAGTCGAGGAACAGCTGTACATGGCTAAATGACAGCTATTCCTCAAGGGAGCCCGGAAGTGTCTTCTGCAATCTCTACCGCTCTATTTTTTTTTTCAATCTACCGTCATCGACCGCGAAGTATCCGTAAGGAAAGCTCCGGAAGTCTCTTCTGCCACTTGAATTCTCCGCTCTTCCCTTTTCTTCAATCTACCGTCATCGAACGCGAAGTATCTTACTTCTCTGCCAAGGCGAGCTCGGATTGGCTGCCGCCGCGGCGGATATTCTTCCCCCCCCCTGCGCGCCTGCGCTCTGACGCCTCTCCCGGGTGCGGCTTCCCCGGTGGCTGTAAGCGGCTGCCGATCGCGGGGCGAGAGAAGCTGCGTCCGCGGGGGTGGGGGCCGGGCGCCTGCCGCGCAGGGCCGGAGTAATGGTGGGTGGCGCGACCGTGCAGGGCCCGGTGGGCTTGCATGAGCTGCTTTTAGCCGGGGCTACCGCTGCTGCTGCTGCTGCTGCTTCTGCCGCCGCCGCCACCACCACCGCCGCTGCTGCTTCTGCCGCTGCTGCACCCTCGGCGGCCCCGGCTGCTGCGGGCGGCGCTGCCGGCCCCGGGGTTGCACCCCCGGGGGAAGAGGAGGAAGTCTGCGTGGTAGGCATTTTCGGCAAGACGGCGCTTCAGCTGGGCTCGGAGAAGTCGGCGCTGGTCAACACGGTCTGCGACCGGCAGGTTTTCCCTCTCTTCCAGCGGGAGGGTGGCGGGGGGGTCCGGGGGTCTTCTGCCGGGGGGGCAAGCCCGGACCCCCTGGCTGATTCCCCCCCTCGGCCTTCCTCCTCTTCCTCCTCCTCCTCTTCCTCCTCCTCCTCCTCCTCTTCCTCCTCCTCCTCCTCCACCAGCCCTTGTCAGGGCGACTACAACCACCTGCAGGCTTTCTACAGCCAGGAGAGCAAGGTGCTTTACCTGGTCCTCACCGCCATCAGCGACAGCCACCAGCTCTTGCAAGCTTGCAAGGACTTGGAAGCCATGGGGGGCTCCGCCCGGGCTGTCTCGGCCGGCTTGGGGGTGCAGCCGGGCTCCTCCCTGCCTCACGCCGAAGCCCACGAGTTCTGGAAGCACCAGGAGAAGATGCACTGCCTCAACCTGCTCTACCTTTTCTCCGTCTGTCACATCCTCCTGATGGTGCATCCCACCTCCTCTTTCGACATTACCTACGACCGGGTTTTCCGGGCGCTGGACGGCTTGAGGCAGAAGGTGCTGCCCACCCTCAAGGCCGCCATCAAGGATTGCCCCGTTGGCAAAGACTGGAAGCTTTTCTGCCGGCCGTGCCCGCCTCGCCTGCTCTTCCTCTTTCAACTCAACCGGGCCCTGAAGGTGGAGCCACCACCGGGCCGGGGGCAAGAGCTGGGGGGCCAGCTGGAGAAGCCACCCCCCAAGAAGCACTCCCCGAAACGCCGGCTCCAACACGCCTTGGAGGACCAGATCTACCGCATCTTCCGCAAGAGCCGGGTGTTGACCAACCAAAGCATCAATTGCCTTTTCACCGTGCCGGCTAACCAAGCCTTCGTCTACATCGTGGCTGGGGGCCCCCAGGAAGGAGAGGACCCCATCGCCGTCTTGCTGGAGCAGCTGAAAAACAACTGCACGGCGAGGGAAGCTGACCCTTCGCTGGGCCCGGGCTTGACAGGGCCCCGGCGGTACCAAATGATGCGGCACAGCAGGCAGCAGCTGTCGTTCCATGCCGAGAGCAGTGGCGGGGCCTGTGGGAGCAGCAGCTCGAGCTCAGGGCAGCTGGTGGATTGCACCTTAAAGGAATTCCTGTTCCAGCACGTGGAGCTGGTCCTTTGCAAGAAAGGCTTTGACGACAGCGTGGGGAGGAACCCCCAGCCATCCCACTTCGAGCTGCCCACCTACCAGAAGTGGGTGGCCACGGCCCTGAAGCTTTACGAGGTGGCGATTGAAGGGAAGGAGAATGAGTCGTCCCCTGGGGGAGAGCTGACCTCCAAAATCATGGGCAGCATCAAAGTGCTGGAGGGCTACTTGGACATCGACACCAAGTTCTCCGAGAACCGTTGCCAGAAGGCCCTTCCGATGGCTCACAGCGCCTATCAGTCCAACCTGCCCCATAACTACACCATGACCATCCACAAGAGCCAGCTGGCCCAAGCGTTGAGGGTTTACAGCCAACACGCCCGGGGCCCGGCCTTTCACAAGTACGCCCTCCAGTTGCATGAGGACTGCTACAAATTTTGGAGCAATGGGCACCAGCTGTGCGAAGAGCGGAGTCTGACGGACCAGCATTGCATGCATAAATTCCACTTGCTGCCCAAGTCAGGTGAGTTCGGGAACTTGTTTGAAATAGAAAAACGTCAAATGAGCTTGGAAACTTCGGAGAAACACATTGTTGTGCTCTCAGTTCTGTATCTATGCATGTCTATATGCTTTCCTTCTAGGTTGGGGGAGTTGGTTGGTCCAGTAGGTTTTCCAAGCTGGAAACACAGAGCATAAGAAATCCCAGGGGTTTTCCCAACCTATCATAAATCTGCCAAGAGCTGGCTGAGGAATTCTGGGAAATGAAGTCTGTATACATCTTAAAGTTTCCAAGGGCTAACTGGGGAATTCTGGGAGTTGAAGTCCACCCATCTTAAAGCAAGGGTCTTCAAACTTGGCAAGTTTAAGACTTGTGGACTTCAAGTCCTAGAATTCCTGAGCTAACATGACTGGAGGAGGAATTCTGGGAGTTAAAATCCACAAGTCTTAAAGTTGTCAAGTTTGAAGACGCCTGCCTTAAGGTTTCTAGTCCTCTCTGTTTTTCAGAATACAATATAATTATTTTTATTTTAAATATTTTTGCTATATAAAGAAAGAGCAACAATTCCAATATCTATATAAAGTGTGTGTTGTCTGGTTACAGTTAGTTTGAGCAATAAACATCACCATAATGGTAATAATATTCCTTAGTAGTGGTCATCATAATGTTAATACAATACAAGATTGATGTGACATATAGTTTGAGGGAAAGGAGAATCTCTTATTCCCAAATGTTATTATGTAACAGAGGGATACAATCAAGATCAAGGGAGGTATTAATACCACCCTATAAAGCCTTAGTAAGACCACACCACAGCTTTGG